ATTTTTTGCCAACTAGCCTAACCTTGTATTTTTCTATTTTCCCTTCCGAATTTAACTTCTTCTTAAAAATCCACTTACATCCTATGCCCTTACGATTTTGAGGTAGTGACACTAATTCCCAAACATAATTTTGGTTTATGAAAGCATATTTGTCTTTCATGGCTTCTACTCAATAGTCCTTTTCGGTACAAGTCAAGGTTTCATGATAAGTTTTAGATTCAAAATTCGGATCATCCCCAACCCTATCAATGTTCCCTCAAGTCGACAAAGTCTTCAAGGTATTTAGGTGGTCTAAAAGTTCGGTTGCTTCGTCTTGGTTCGGGTTCAGGTTTATTTTGATTTGAGGATTCGAGTTCAACCTCAAGTCTATTTGAGCACATCCTTGTTTCTTGCTTCCTCAGAGAGGTCAGCTTGTTTGTGACTCAATATTGCTTCAAAGAATTATTCTTCGAAGAACTGAGCATCGCGGCTTTCAATAATCGTCTCAGTTTCATGGTTGTAGAATTGATACCCCTTACCATGGTTTGGGTAGCCAAAAAAAATGGTCTTTACAGTTTTTTTTGAAGTTTGGTCTTATTTTCGTACATGATTAGGACATAGGCTGAGCAACTCCAAACTTTGAGATGATCGAGGGATGGAGCACGACCGGTGAATATTTAATTAAAAGTAAGTGAGGGAGGGTTGTGCAAGTCCGATTAAGGATATAACATGTTTCTCCCCAAAATTCTAAGAAGAGCATATCGTAGCTCATCATACTCCTTACCATTTCAATCAAGGTCATATTACATCTCTCGTCTATACCATTTTGTTTGGGCGTATAAGACATGGTGTATTGATGTATGATTTTGTTTTCGACACAAAGGTCATTGAAAAGTTCGGATGAATATTCTTCTCATTTATTAGTTCTAAGGATTTTGATTTTCAAGTTAATTTGGTTTTCTACCTCGGCCTTATATTCTTTTAATTTTTCTAAGGCTTCGGACTGTGTATTAGATACACATGGCCATCTCGTGAGTTGTCATCTATAAAAGTGATGACATATCTTTTGCGGCTTTTGGTAGCCACATTCATAGAACCACATATATGACTATGAATGATTTCTAAAACGTTAGTAGCTATTTTTGCTCCGGTGGTATTTTCCTTGTTAGTTTTCCTCACATACAAGATTTATACACTTTCGATAAATCTACCTTATAATTTTGAAAAATACCGTTATTTTTCAATCTTTCCATTATTTTGTAATTAATGTGTCATAGACTCATATGTCATATGGTAGCATCCAAACCATTAGGGGACGCGATATAAACAACGTTCTCTTTCATTTCAATAGTAAATAAATTGTAGCTCTCGAGTCAATACATGAAAAAGCTCCATTCCGTTCGGCTAGCAATATCTCAAAGACCACACAAGCAAGTTCCTTGTTGGTCCCACCAAATTTGTTGGACCGATAATACTTAGCTATGTGGCTCACCTTCTTACAAATAAAGCAAGTTCTAGTCTCTGTCTTTCCCTATTTATTTCCAAAATCTCTCTTCTTGTCATCCCCTCTTTTTCTAAAATTATTTTTTCCCTTTCTTTTTTTTGTTTAAAAGAAGGTTAAGATTTTACCATGTGTATGGCCTCCCTTTGAGTTGGTATCGATGTCGGTGCATGCTTTGAGTTCATTCTTTCTTCTTATTCTTTGATGGTTCTAATAAGCTCCTTCAACTTTAAGGCATTTGGTCAAGCGGAGAGAAAATACATGAATGTTTCCCATGAGTTAGGAAGTGAATTCATGAGATGAATCACTGGCATGAGTTCCATAGGTTTCATGCCGATGTCTTCATGATTTGATAATGTAGTTCCCTCGGACATCTTTAACTCATTGTACTTTTTTATAGTCATGGCTTGTTTCATGAGAGAAGAATCTGTATACTCCCTCTCAAATCTATCATAGATTCTACTTGTGGTGAAGATTGACTCATACTCAGAAGCATATGAATCGGTCATAGTACACAAAAGGATGTGTTTATATCTCAAGTTTTTACGTTTCCAAGTAGCATACGCATCTTTGATTGCTTGAAAGGAATCGGTACTTGGACGATGAAGGCAATGCTCATAGAGCATCTCATGCAAGTACTCCTCATAAAGGACATACCCAATCTTTCTATTCCAAGAGGCATAATTGGTCCCATCAAATTTTGGTTTTTTAGGATCTCCGATATGAAAGTATGGGCAGACATATTTTTTATTCCTAAGCTAGATCTAGACTCAAGAAAGAAAAAAGACTCTTAATGGCAACAAGTAATTACAGCTCTGATACCAATGGAAGAAAGATTAATGTGATCTTTCCAAGGTATATATATTTTTTTATTTTTCTTCTTTTTCACCCATTTTCTTTTATTTTCGTTTGGCAAACATCACTTACAAGTAGTCTTATTACAATAAACTATTGCTTCAAAAGAAATAAAACTAGCAAATCAAGATCTTAAAACCTTGATGTCACTTAACAATTTTATTGAAACACAAAAAATAACCACAATTCTTATGCTTGGGAATATAATGACAGTATAATTAAACATGGCCAAAAACAAAAAGAGAATGCCGGAAATTACCTTAACTGAGCTTATTACACCCTACATCGAGTCACCACCATCCGATGGTGTGGGATCAACGATTAATATTCAATCTCAATATAGGGAAAACAAGTTTAGACCAAATCCTCCAATAGAACTTTAAACTCCTATTTATCACAAATCTCAAACTTAGGTATAACCCATAAAACCTAGTTTAAGAGAGATAACATCTACTTACTTCTACCCAACCCTTAAGATCAAGATATTGTAACATAAGAGAGATATATATAATCTAAGTGGGGCATGCCCCTTATCAAAATTCTAGAGAGAGAAACCTTATAGGTTGGGGCGTGTCCCATAAGCTTACTAAAGAAGAGAGGGATAATATTTATAGAGAGAAGAGAGATACTTTTGGTATAGAGATTTATGGGCTTGTGGTCTTCTATTTATAATGCAAAAATAACATTAGGGTTTCTTAGGGTTTTCTATGGTTTGTTTCTTCTTATAAGATTGAATATGCATCATTGATCTTGGGTGACTTGTGAAGTGAGGGATTTGAGCTCTTCACTCCATAGATGGGCCATCAACATTATATGGAAGTACTAAAATATTTATCCCCCACTTCCTAAACCATTTTCTTATCAAAAGAAATTAAATAAAATAATTCCATTCATAATATTGTGCTTACCAAAATTATGCACAAGTCTTCTCATGCTTTCAAAAAATTCATTCAAAACTTCCTCAAGGCAAAAAGCTTTCTAAAACATCACAAAGATTTTTCTTCAAGCCAAAACTTGCTCCAACAAAATAAGGAAAGCCCTAAGAGTGGGGCGTGCCACCCTAGGTGGCACTCATGGGCCCCACCCACATTGCAATGGTGGGCCCATATAGTTTATTGGGCCTCCCATGCAATAATCAAATTAATTAAAATATTATATGATTTTTATAAATTTATAAAACTCAATTTAAATAATTAAATCAATCTAAAATTAATATCTATATTTTTATAAGTCTAAATTTGATAAATAAAATATCCAAAGATCTAAAAAAATTCAAATCACATTTCTAAAAATCATATATCAATAAAAAATATATAATTAAATTCATTACATGGGAAATGATCCATATGGTATATGAATTAAAAATAAACACTAGGGCACTCCACCTTCAAGTGTGGACTACGGTCCACACTTACTTTCTCAAACCGACTTAGTGTTGTTCATGACCCACAGTCTATACAGGGGTTCATTAATAGGTTACCAAAGTCCAGCCAACGGGCAAGGGTCATAATATCAGTTTGTGGATTTCAGGTTCCCCCTTAAAAACATACTAAGATCCCTTGACCTAATGCGACCACAACTCATATGGCACATAGAGGTATCTCTCGCACATGTATAAGCTTCACCCGAAAGGCAGTTCACTTTCCTGAAATGACTATCATATATGCACGCGGATGAGGCTTTGGCCCTCGTCTCTGATGGCCATTATTACACGCAAGGGCCACATAGTCCCTCGGCTCACTCATCCGGGCATATTCCGACCTCATCAAGAGATGACCTTATTAAAACCCTTATTGGATAGTTTGCTATGCTTAGGTAACATAGGTTTTTTCGAATTGACTGGCCTAGTTCGTAAAGCTTAGTTTGGTATCAGCAAATGTTATTTGCTTAGTATTGTCCATGAAGGATCACACTTCCACTGAGTTCATGTTCTATTATATCAAAATATTTATTACAAGCACTTATAAGGCATTTAATGGCCACATTAACCCAACAAGATCAACTATTAATCAAATTTTTTTTTATTGAATTCAAAATACCCTTCTAAATTATTGTACTCATGAGCTTCAAATAGTTGAAAAAAGAGTAAATAGAAAATTTGTTGAAAAGTTAAATATATTTTAATAAAGGACAAGGTTTCTATGAGTCTGGGACACATATGTAGCAATCGGCCCCTATTTTTGATAAATTTTGTAGATGGATTTTGGATCTAAATTTTTTTAGATGTATAGAATATCTAACCTGAAGACCATTAATACGTGGAAAAAAAACAAATTAAAACTAAAATGATAAATTTTGGGGGAAAAGCTTTAACCGTTAGATTATGTTCTTTTAGGAGGGAACACCTTTACATCCATTTTAATGATGGATGTTTGATAACTTGGGGGATGTAAATGTTGAAATGCTTCCTCGGACTCATATACTAATTTCCATGTAATTTTTTTTTTAAAAGACATGACCAAAAAGAAATAAAAAATAAAAATAAAAATAAAAATGAAAATAGAAGTCCTTATATCATGTGACTATTGTTTTACTTTTTTGTGCTCATCTTATGCAGCCAAATGCTTAAGAAATATGGGGAGCTTTCTATGGGCAATTCTGAAAACCAGCCAAGCCCATTTTAAATCGGGCAATTACATCACCGTTGTTTTGCCTTTGATAAAGATGGTGTTCCTTTTAAAGGGCCATAAATTACAGGGAAAGCTCTGAGTGGATACTTTGCAATCTCTCTTACTCATCCCTTCACACTTTCCCCCAACTCCCCACTCCTCTCTACCTTCCTTGTACTGTAAACCAGTTCTCTCTACCACAAATTCTGTCTCTCTGTCTCTCTCTCTTCCTTGCACTGCAAACCTTCTCTCTGATCCAAATTCTTTCCGACTTTCCACCTCATACCAGTTATCCTCCTCTTCCTTCAGTAGCAAACCTCTTCCTCTCTCTAACTCATATAACACCTCAACCCCCCATTCTCATACTCAACAGTTGTCACCCATTTTCAGGCCTAACTGTTATCATCAATAGCCATTACTCTCTTTCCTCCACACTTCTCTCTCTACTTCACCAGTCCTTAACACCAATACCCACTAGCCCCCTTCCTCTTCGTCTTCTCCCTCCTCTTAGTTTTAAGGAGAAAATGGCGGATTGGGGTCCTGTTTTTGTGGCTGTAGTTCTCTTTATATTCCTTACACCGGGTTTGCTATTTCAGGTTCCGGGTCGGGGACGCTTCATTGAGTTTGGGAACTTTCATACAAGTGGGGTCTCCATTTTGGTGCACTCGTTGCTGTATTTCGCTCTCATTGCTATTTTCTTGTTAGCAGTTAGAGTCCACATGTATATTGGTTTTTAGGTGCTGGGTTTTGCTACATTTAGCTGGAATATCAGTGGGGGTTTTTTATTGTTTTAAGCTGTTTTAATTCCCCAGTTTTTCATTCTTTTTGTTAACAATGTGTTTGTGGCATGGTGGGGTGATTTTTTTTTAATTTTTTTTCTGGTTTTTTTTTGGGGAATGGGGTTGTTTATGTGCTAAATTTGGATGTTAAGGTGTATTCCAACAGTAATAATGAAATGACATGAGTTATATGTGGCCAAATGGTTCTCTCTGTTTTTCCAATTTGATAGATCACATTGGTTTGTTTTCTTGATTCAGGTGCTGGGCTGTTCTAGCATTTCATGGAAATAGCTATCTTCTTGTGAGTTTTCAAATGCAAAATTATTGCTTTTTCTCCCTCATTGAGCATGTCTCTTTGCTGATTCTATATGCTGTTTTGAGATCATGAAGGGGGACAATGTTGTGATTCTATGCTTTTAGGTTTTAGCGATAACAAATTGATAAAACCCAAATTGGTCACCTATAAGAATGTTTTAATTTCATCTCCCATTGATATGTGGTTAAAATTTTGAGCATGGCAATTAATTTCATCTCCCATTCATATGTGGTTACATATTTGAGCATGGCGATTCAGATTGCCATTTGGGTTTTGTGTACAAAGATTAACCCTAATGGATTTAGAGTTTAGGTGTTGCATGAAGGCTTCTTAGTATTTATGTTGAAGGAAACAGCTGACTGGTGTTTCTTAAGTATTGTGATTCCTTTTTTACTTGAGATCTCTCTAAGGAGATGGGAAGCTCTAACATGCCATCTATTTATTAATGTTATCAATAGATATTATTAAAAAATTTAACTGAGTAATGATGGAACCTGGTGATCATGCATATCTGGGGATGGAGAAAACCAAGTTTGAATATGAATCACTTAAGTGTTGTCATACTTGGGCCCTAGAAAATAATATGGCTTCTGGGCCCAGTGTTCCTACACTTTCTCGCATGACTGATCCCTTCAAGGGAATGATCGATGACCTACTTTTGGAATTGAACTGTACTGTCACTGGAGAAAGTTGTACCCCAATATCAGTTACCAATTGAAACAAAACGGTTCTTTCCCAATATCGCCACACACGAGAATATTCCGCTCTATTATAGTTTGCTGCCTTTGGTTCCATCAATCTACGTCTAAGTTATTGAGAGAGTTTTGTCCATTGCTGTAATTTACTGTATGGTTCAATGGTGCATGTTAATGCAGGTTGTCACCTGATGAGACTTTGTGGTTCAAAGAATTGTGAATCAACACCCAGCTTACGCTTAATTTGCATTATTATATTAGCTGGCTAAGTAGGTCTAATATAGGGGTTGTGTCAATATAAACATGTAGTGATAGTAGCTTTGTGGCTACTAGGGACACAAACTCAGGTGCATAGGCAGAATTCAACACTATGAAGTTTGCAATGTTGCTCAGCGTGTAAGATAACTCATTGGTTGTGTGGTGGGACTTGGGAGTTCTTGGTTACCATACTTACCAAGGATGAAAGTTGATGAAGTCGTAGCTTTCCTTTAGTCTAGTGATTTGAAGCAACACTTTGGGAGGGAGCCCAACCTTCTCAAGCGATCTTGATAAGCAAACCTTTACTGTAGGGATTAACTGCCCATAGGAGCACATCCCAAAGTTGTTCAAATGGTTTCTTGTCTTCCTTTCGAGTGTTGTTGGTTTTCCAATTTCATTAGTTTTCTTTGCCCTTGTAGATTCTGGACATCAACTTTTTTTGCTCTTTTTCTTTGAAATCTATTTACAGGCCTTCATATTAGCCCTGTCGTTCTACTAATTCACATATTTGTTATTGAATCAATTCATTACATGGTTTATCCAATCACTTTGACTTATTCAATTGAGTTGCATCATTATAACTTGTATCATTGGATTAATGTCCATGCAATAATCATCTAAATGCAATGGAGTTATTACAAAGTCTATATTCATCATAGCCATCTTGATCTTCTTAATCCATGCAATAATTATCTAAATGCAATGGAGTTCTTACAAAGTCTCTATTCATCATAGCCATATTGATCTTCCTCTATAATGTATCTAATATGGTCCCCTCAGTAGGATATTGATTGTTATTGATGATTTCTTTATTGTTATTGGGCAATATAAAATATTCAAATTTTGGTGTCTCTACCATGAGTAGAACTGTATCCCTAAAAAGCAAATACCTTTACTTCTGACAAATGGGCCATTCTCATGATCATAAATCTCTATCCTTTAGGTCCTCAGTGTATCCCACAAATAAAATAAAACTTGTTTTCACTTGGAATTTGGGGTCCTGTTTGTGCAGATCGGTTACTTTGAGTAACTCTCGCCTTGCTAATAATTCATCTACATGCCAAAATATTGGGAATTTGGTCCTTTTCTGCTGTTTAAGAGCAGCCTACTTTTGTCAGCGCCTTTACCATAAAAACCTCAGCTACTAACACTAACTTTAAAAGTCAATTCCTTGAAAATCTCTTTTCTATTTAGTGAGAAATTATGCTCTATGAAATTCAGGAAATGTGAGAGCACTCCCTTAGACACAGCATGACATGGTATTTCTGACCTTTATGTAGGGCTTCAAACTATTCAAACCTCATTATATGTTTTATTAATAGAAAAGCACCTAATTTTTGAGAGACATTGTAGTAGTAGAGTACTTCCCAATGAAACTCAATGTAGCATGTCTCATCAATTTACCATCCATATATGTTGCCTTTCAATGACACCATGTTGTGAGGAATATGTGGCGTGGATGAATATTCCCTTTTTAATAACAATAAGACTTGAATAGTGAATTCATTTTCTCCTCCACCGATTCTACCGGTATTGGATATCACTACCTCATTTTGCTTTTGTTTCATAATATGCTAGTAGTGGTCCTGGTTTTTTGTTTGGAGACCACATATAAGATGATTGAATACGTTTCATTAAAATTCTTATTTTGCAGTTATGTTGCCTCTGAATTGGCCTACTAGTTAGCTATATAGTCACTTGAGTAAATATTTTTTGAAAACTGCATATTCAATGGTCATTTGGTTAACTATTCTCTGTTTGGTTTCTTTGGGGCATTGAGATTGTTTTTACAGTTATTAGCACGATTGCAATGACTTCTTTTTTGTGTCAAGCATTGGTTTTACTTATTTCAATCCTCTTTCTTTACCCTTGCACTTCTATCTGGTTATTCAAATACTTCTGTTTTTTCTAGTCATGCTTTCATATGGTACTTTGGATTTACTCGATGGCTTTATTTCCTATTATAAATGGCTCTTAAATTTTTCAAGTGAGTTGCACACATTGGTTTTCATAATGCAATAAACATAGGTTCCCTTGACAGAAAGTTTCCCATCATAAATACTCCTCGCATAGGCTCTGCAACAACAAATCCACCGAATGTTAGGGCTTAAGCCATTGAAAACATGTGGTTTGGTGTTATGTCAATCCCCTTGAACCACTTACATCTCTAGAAGGAAAGTGTACAGTACATCCAATGGCTACTCAAGAACATATTCCATGGGGTGGTCCTCGTCCAATGACATGATGAATGGTTGTAACGAGGGAATGGAACCCCCTAGAACAGGATATGATCACAATGGTGGGTCCTACCTCTTCATCACCACTCATAATTTCATCAAATGTGGATGACCCCAATGGAGTATAGTTTTCTATTGCTCATTGGATTATATTATACATCCCTTTTCTAAAACATCTAGTGCCTCCATAGAGTCTCAATATTTTGACCCAAAGTGTCTTGCATCTTTTGTGCAGTTCTAACTCTCAAACTTCACTAGTAGTTTATCCATCGGGGCAAATAGCATGCAAATCTTGAAATGGGTATTGATTAGCGAATTTATCCTATTCTGCATTTTGCATTTTTTTTTTTCGAAAAGATTTTTTTTTTCGAAAAGATTTTTTTTGGTTCCAATGCCGGGATATGAAACATTTCGCATTTTTCTTTTCACTGTCTATAAGTACTATATATTTTGAGACAATTTGTCCAAAAAATATATTGAAAAAGTGAATGCACAAAGACAAAATTATTCAAAACTAAAAGAACAAATACATTTACAGTCTTCCATCCTTTCTTGACAAGAAACAGATGCTATGGGGATTTGGAATAAAAATTAGGATCAACAGTGCTATCACTTGAAAAAAACCTGAATATTTGGTTTCTTAGATTTGTTTTTGTCACTCGCTAGGTGAGTTACAGCATAGTGGAGACACAAAATCAATACAAGAATCATGTAGAGACTACATATCTCACAAAGGTAGACTACACTTCTCTATGGATTTTTCTTCTCTTCACGCGTGCATACTTCTTTTCAAAAGTCAAGAGAATGATGCTCGCAACTTCAGGCCAGTATTATCAAAACAAAAAATTCATATCATCATCATCGTCATCATCATAGCTTTTTTCTCAATTAATTGGGGTCGGCTACACAAATCATGTTCCGCTATTCTGCTCTATTAAAGGCCATACCCTCAGTGAGGCCATAAGTCCCCATATCTTTTCGGACTACTTCCAACCACATCTTTTTGGGTCTACCTCTTGCCCTTTTCAGTCCTTCTACTTGAACTAACTCACACCTCCTAATAGGTATTGTACTTAGTCGGTGCCACAAATGGCCAGCCTACTTAAGTCTACTATCTCTCATCTTATCGCCTTATTGTATGGTAAAGATTCATCATAAGTTTTAGCAAAATTTTATGTTGGCTGCCTAGCCAACACAACCCAACCCCTTTACCAGGGCATGGGACGGGTTAAAGGAAAGTTTAAAGTCATCACCCTTCTTAGATCAAAACAAAAAATTCGTATCTATAACACGATTCCTTGAACCTTGATGTAGAAGCCCAAGAGTGCAATACACACAAATACCTATACAAAAACAAAACAAACAACAATAAACATACCTATGAACAAAACAAACAACAATAAACAGACAACGAGTTCAGTCGTTAACGTAACGAGTCTAATCACCAAATACACCGGGTCTCTTGGATCATTGGCGCATGCAAAGTCCATTCTCAAACTCTCACAAAACTTCTCAAGCACCTCACCGGATCGTGAAAGATCAGGAGGAAGATTCCATTCTTGTCTTAAAAAAAAATAAAAAAATAAAAAGCCAGATTCCACACTTCTCTCTCAGGATATCTCTTTGTCATATGTGGTGTTCTCTTCCTTGTGCACATGTATCTTCCGAAAGATCTTCTGTCATCTGTGAACCTCTTGGGGAGTTCGTAACTTTTTTCGTACATGCAAGAACCAATGAGATTTTTTACCTCAGGTCTTATGTTCATATGGAATGTCTTTTTCTATGGTGAATTTGT